CCCCCCCTAACTCCCTCTCCTCCCCTAGGAAAATCTCCCCCTTCCCTCCGTCTTTGCCAGGTTCCCTTCCGAGCCCTGGGGGAGAATTTTGCCACTCAACAAACCAAATGGGGGGGGGGGCAGGAAAGTGGCTCTCAACAGTGCAGTTCGGAAGTGGGGGGGCCCTCCCCCCCCCTTTGAGCCTGCGGTTCAACCCCCAAGTGCCCCCCCAGCCATGGGGCTCAGAGGGGCTCACGGGTTTTAGGGATTACACCTCCGCTCTCTGGCTGCAAATTGGCGAAGATTCACCCCACCTCTGCCACCAATCTGGAGCTGGGAGTAGCCCATCTCCATGACTTTCCTGCTAGCCCCCAAGTCTGCCCACTTCCCAGCCCCCCTCATCAGCAGATGGTCCCCCAAACTCATGGCTTTTCTTGAGGCCCCAGGATGTAGGCAGAACCCTCCCCCCCCCCACACACACACTTGCATTTTCTGTGGGAAACTGCACCCCCTATTTTCTATTGCCCCCTAATTTTCCCCCCAGGTCGTGCCCCGCCCAACAGACTCACCCGCAACCCTGATTAAACCTGCCTTTAAAAATTGTTCCACCGGCCCGGATGTTGCACTCCCAGGACAGGGAGTTTAGTAGGATGGGGGGGCAGGCTGGGAGCCAGGACTCCTGGGTTCTCTCCCTGGCTCTGGGAGCAGAGTGGGATCTAGTGGTTAGAGCAGCGGGGCTGGAAGCCAGGACTCCGGGGTTCTTTCCCTGGTTCTGGGAGGGGCGTGGGATCTAGTGATTAGAGCAGGGGGGTTGGGAGCCTGGACTCCTGGGTTCTCTCCCTGGCTCTAGCAGTGGGTTGGGGTGTAGTGGTTAGACCGGGCAGGGAAGCCAGGACTCCTGGGTTCTTTTCCAGCAGACAATTCCCTTTCTTCAACCTACAGTTTGGAAATAGGGCGGGGGGGGGGGGGGCTGTTTTCCTGCTTCCTCACCAGTCCAGGGCACGCACCAAGCTCTGCTCGGGTCGCCCACCCCTGCCATTTCCAGTCCAAGGGGGCAGCTGGGAGATCTCTTGCCCTCGGCCCGGGCTCAGGCAGGACGCTGGCCGGAGCTGGGGGGACCCAGAGCCCAGCGGGCAAGGGAATTTCTGTGCAGCGGACACACACCAGTGGGGACACACACCCGCCTGACACACGGGAAAGGCATTTGGATTTGGTTTGGCCTTGAGTCCAATTTTCCAGGCTGGGTTGTTTTTCCCATGGTTTGAAATCTCGCTTGCCAAAACACACCCAGCTTTTCACGGGTGTGTTTTGTGTGCTGCTGTGTTGTGTGTGTGCCTGGCTTTGTGTTGTGTGTGCTGCACTGGTTCTTTGTGGCACATCCCCATGGGTTTGTGTATGTGTCGTCGTGTTTGGCGTGCCTGTGTTTGTGCCTCATTTGTATTTGTGTGCCTTTGTGTTTTGTTTGTGCTGGTGGGGTTTTGTGGGACCATGTTTGTGTTATGTGGGTGTGTCCTTCTTGGCGTGTTTTTGCGGGTGTCTGTGGTTGGTTTACAGCTGTGTATTTTGTGTGTTTGTGTCATGTTTCGGATGGCTGTTGTGTGAACCTGTGTTGCTTCCAATGGGGTGTGTGTGCACACACACCTCGCTTTGTAAGGCTAGCCCTGTGTTTGTGTGGTGTGCAGCATTGTGCTTGGGTGTTGTCTGTGTCTATACAACTGTGTTGTTGTGCATCTCAGTGTTTTTGTGTAACTCCTGTGTGTTGGGTGAAAATAATTGGAGTACTCATGTCAGGATGCGTGTGAATTCCAGAACTGAGCTGTTTTTAAAGGGGCAGGGCTAAATATAAAACTGTCATTATCTATCCCACCACTGCTACCAATGCTAGTAAATCTGATCATTGCGCCCTCCCCGATAGCCCCAAAAGGAGATAGACTTGGTCTCATCCTTTCTCTCTCTGTTCCCAGGAGCGGCCCTGCAGTGCCTGAAATGCGACTTCACCGTATTTGACATCCCCTGCCACACCACCACCGTCACCTGCAAGGACGACCAGCTCTGCGCTATCATCCGGGGCCGTGCAGGTAACACCCCTTCCTCCTCACCAGCTCTCTCTTCCAGTTCCTCGTCCTCTCTCCTCTTCCGTTTCTCTCGTGTCCCCTCGTTCTCCGGCTCTCTGCATTTCTCTCTGTCTCATTCCCTCTTTCTTGCTCTCTCCCCCCAGCCGGCCACAGGCTGATGATGAAGAAGAACTGCGTTGACAAGGTGAAATGCCACACCAATGACACCTCGACCTGGGCAGGCATCACCTACAGCACCTCCTACGAGTGCTGCGAGGGCGAATTCTGCAACTCAGCCGCGGGCGCCGGGGCCCAGCTCTCCCTGGCCGCAGGGCTGGCCATGCTGGGGGCCTGGCTCGCCCGGGGCCTCTAATCCCTGCTCCAGAAGCCGGGAGGGAAGAGGAAATAATTTCTGTTGGGGGGCAAAAAAAATCCATCCTGACCTTGCCTTTAAATAGCCCCGCCCCTTTTCTTCTTAAAGGGGCACTTGTTAGCCAGAGGTGAGACCCGATCTTTGGCCTTTTCTTGGTCGTCTTAAATCATTATAACCTGGGGACGAAGGGGAAAGACCCTCGGGGTCTGTCCGGAGAAGGAAAATGTATTCCCCATTCTTTCGTGGTGGCCCCCTGAACTTTTTCACCGTTCATTCTGTTTCTTTTTGTCAAGTCTCACTCTCGGTCTGATAAGCTACCCATTGCTGCAGTCTCCAGCCTCCAAACCCTGCCCCAGCTGGCACGCTGCCATTTTTATGTAACCCCGCCCCCCCGCAAAAAAAATCCAAGGCGAGCCGCTGAATTTCCCACCTGTCCCTGCCGGCTCCCGATGACACGGGACTGTCAATGAGGGAGCCGCGGCCTGTGGACAAATGTACCTTTAAGAACTGGGCGCTGCGGCACCGTCCCCTGCCTTGAGCCCCCTCGCTGCAGCTGCCAATGCCCCATTGGTGGCAGGGTGGGATCTGCGGGGGCTGCAGCTGGGGTCAGATGCCCTGGCTCCAGCTGTCCAGGCCTCTGTATTCCTCCCTCTGCCTTCCCCCCCTCATGCTCACTGGCACTACAGACATCTGGTGCCAAATGTTCACTGCCTTCCGCACCGGCCCCGCCCGCACCTGGGGGCAGCACTTCTGCTCGCCAGCCTTGCCCACACCTGGCCCCACGTCTTCGCCTGGCTGCAGGGCTGGCATCGGGGCAATGATCACCCGGAGGGTGCTGGGGGGAGGACTCTGCTCTTCATCCCAATGCCGACAGAGGTTGGGCAGGGGCTAGAGGGGGCCGGGAGCGTTGTATTGCCCCCACACAACGGCACAGCAGCTTGGTGCTGCCCCCTGCTGGCGCAGGCAGGATCAGCGCCTCGGCTTCCTCTGCTCATGTTCTCCTGAAACGCGTCCAGAATAAATCTTGTCTCGGCTCCGATCGCCCAGCAGTTGTGACTTTCTTCCTCCCTCCCTCCTGACTCGCAGCCACTGCTACCCCGGTCCTGTCCCCCCACAGCTCTGCCAGTGCCCCTCACTCCCGACCCGCAGCCCCTGCCAGCCCAGCCCTCCCCGCCCCCAGCCCTGCCGGTGCCCCTCACTCCCGACCCGCAGCCCCTGCTAGCCCAGCCCTGGGCTCCCCCCATTCCCAGCTCTCTGAAATGCCCTGTGGGTTGGAGCTGGGACACACAAGGCCTTTGGCTGGGGCATGACTCAGAGCTCGGTTGTTGTGGTGTTCGCACTGGGCGTATGTGCGGGTGATCAGAAATTTCCCGTGCTGCACACGGAGTTAGCGCCCAGAGCCGGGCGTGAGCAGACAGGCTGGGAGCTCGGCGGCAGGTGGGGCTGGGTGCTGGGGGGTGAGATTGTGGAGCCAGGCGCAGTGACGCAGTGTGCCTGTGTACCGATGAATTTGTGCTGTGTGTGCTGTGAAATTGTGGACCAGGACACGGTGCGGTTGTGTTGTGTGTGGTGTGTATTTGTTCTCCTGAAACGTGTCCAGAATGAATCCTGTCTTGGCTCCGATCGCCAGCAGTTGTGACTTTGTTCCCAACCCGCAGCCCCCTGGGGGCGCGTGGGGGGCAGGGCACAGTGCAGGTGTGTGTGTGGAGGGGGGGTGCACAGGGTGTGCGTGCGGAGCAGGGCACGGTGCGGCTGTGTTGTGTGGGTCACAGGTGGGGCTGCGGTTTTGTGTGGGTGTCATTGGGTGTAGTGGTGTAAGTGTGTGTGTAATTGTGTTGTGTGTAGCTGGGTTTCTGTGTTGGTTTTGCTGCATAGTTATAGGTGTGGGGGGGTTGTTTTACTGTGTATATGTGCATTTCTGTGTGTGTGTAATTCTCTGTGTGTGTGTGACTATGTTGTTGTGTGTAACTTTGTGTCTGTGTGATTGTGTTGTGTGTTTCTGTCTTGCTCTCGGTGTAGCTACTTTTCTGTATGTCTGTTTTATTGTGTGTGTGTGTGATTGTGTTATTGGGGGCTTCTCTGTCAGTGTGTGTGGTGTGTGATTGTGTTATTGTGGGGGGTTTCTCTGTCAGTGTGTGTGGTGTGTGATTGTGTTAATGGGGGGTTCTCTGTCAGTGTGTGTGGTGTGCGATTGTGTTATTGGGGGGGTTCTCTGTCAGTGTGTGATGGTGTTATTCGGGGGGTTCTCTGTCAGTGTGTGATGGTGTTATTGGGGGGGTTCTCTGTCAGTGTGTGTGGTGTGCGATGGTGTTACTGGGGGGTTCTCTGTCAGTGTGTGTGATTTGTGACTGTGGCAGTTCTGTCCCCCAGGGATCTGTACTGGGCCCAGTCCTATTTAACATATTCATAAATGATCTGGAAAAAGGGGTAAGAGAGAGGCCAAAATTTGCAGACGATACAAAACCACTCAAGGTAGTGAAGTCCCAGGCAGACTGCGAAGAGCTACAAAAGGATCTCACAAAACTGGGTGACTGGGCAACCAAATGGCAGATGAAATTTAATGTTGATAATTGCAAAGAAATGCACATTGGGAAACACAATCCCAACTAGACAAGTACAATGACGGGGTCTAAATGAGCTGTTACCGCTCAAGAAAGATCCTGGAGTCACTGTGGAGAGTTCTCTGAAATCATCCACTCAAAGCGCTGCGGGATCAAAAAAGCAGAACAGCATGTTGGGAATCATCAAGAAAGGGAGAGAGAATAAGACAGAAAATATCATGTTGCCTCTATGTAAACCCACGGGACACCCACACCTTGAACACCGCATGCAGATGTGGTCGCCCCATCTCAAAAAAGATCGATTGGAATTGGAAAAGGTTCAGAAAAGGGCAACAAAACTGCTGAGGGGTGTGGAACGGCTACCGTATGAGGAGAGATTAATGAGACTGGGACTTTTCAGCTTGGAAAACAGATGACTAAGGGGGATAAGCTAGAGGTTTATAAAATCATGACTGGTGTGGAAAAAGTGAATAAGGAAATGTTATTTCCTCCTTCTCCTAACACAAGAACAAGGGGCCACCAAATGAAATGACTAGGCAGCAGATCTAAAACAAACACAAGAAAGTATTTTTTCTCGCAACACACTGTTAACCTGTGGAACTCCTTGCCAGAGGATGTTGTGAAGGCCAAGACTATAACGGGGTTCAAAAGGGAGCTAGATCAATTCCTGGAGGATAGGTCCATCAGTGGCTATTAGCCAGGCTGGGCAGGGATGGTGGCCCCGGCCTCTGTTTGCCAGAAGCTGGGAATGGGCGACAGGGGCTGGATCACTTGATGATTCCCTGTTCTGTTCATTCCCTCAGGGGCACCTGGCATTGGCCACTGTTGGTAGACAGGATACTGGGCTGGATGGACCATTAGTCTGACCCAGTCTGGCTGTTCTTATGTCCTCTGTGTGTGTGTTTGTGTTATTGTGGGGGGGGGGTTATGTGTGTGTGTGTTTGTGTGATTGTGGGGGGTTCTCTGTGGGTGTGATTGTGTTATGGGTTTTGTGTGTGTGTGTGTGTGTGTGTCTGGTTTTCTGTGTGTGCGACTATGTTATTGTGTCTGTGTCTGTTCCTGTGCGTGTGTGTCCGTGGGGATTATGTTGTTGTGTGCGTGTGTGTGATTGTTATTGTGTCTGGTTTTCTGTCTGTGTGTGCATGGTTGTATATGTGTGTGATTGTGTCTGACTCTTGTTCTGTGTGTATGTGCGTGCGCGGTTGTGTGTGTGTGGATCTGTGTGATTGTGCCTGAATCTGGGTCTGTGTGTGTCTGTGATTGTGATTGTGTTATTGTGTCTGGTTTTCGGCGTCTGTGTGTGCATGGCTGGGCGTGTGTGTGTGTGAGATTGTGTCTGAGTCTGTGCGTGCGGTTGTGGTTGGGTGGCTGTGTGCATGTGGTTATGTGCGTGCATTTGTGATCACGTCTGGTTCTGTTTGTGTGGTTGTGGTTGGATGTGTGTGGTTGTGTGTTCTCTCTCTCAGCCCCACACTCCCGTCACAAACTCTACTCCATTCTCCTTTATTCTCTGCTCCAACCCCCCCCCAAATGCCCAGTCCCCATCTGTCACCCCAGCCCCCATGGGGCGGGGAAGGCGGAGGGCCGGACGCCTGGGTTCCTCTTCCAGCTCTTCCCCTTGGAAAGCCCCTGGTAGCCTCAGGGAGCCTCCGAACCGCCCTGCGGAGGGCGCTGGGTGTTGACACGCGGCTCGGCCCCGCCCGGACCCCGACACAGAGCTCGAGGGGCGGGGGTCGCTCCACAGGGGCTGACGGGGCCATCACGGCTGGGCAAGATCGGTGCCCCCTGCTGGGATGACAGGAGCTCACAGTCACCCCTGAAACGGGGCTGGCTCAGGGGGTGGGAAATGGGGCAGGGGCCTGGTCCCTCTAGGGGGCGCCGGCTCCCATCCAGCCCCAGGGCAGGGACTGGCTGGCTCAGGGGGACAGGGAATGGGGCAGGGGTCTGTCCCCTCTAGGGGGCGCCGGCTCCCATCCGGCCCCAGGGCAGGGACTGGCAGGCTCAGGGGGACAGGGAATGGGGCAGGGGCCTGTCTCCTCTAGGGGGCGCCTGCTCCCATCCGGCCCCAGGGCAGGGAGTGGCTGGCTATGGGGGGCAGGGAATGGGGCACGGGGCCTGTCCCCCCCAGGGGGCGCCGGCTCCCCACCTGCGTGTCCCAGCCCAGCCCCACGTTCTCATACAGCTGCGCCTGGGATTTGGGTCCGGGAGGGTCTGGAATAAGAGACAGGAGAGAAACCGCATGAGAATTGATGGGAGCTCCTTGGGATGGGGGGAGAGAAATCCCTTCCCCCCCCCCAGGCCATTGAATGAAGGCAGACACAGCCCTGCCCCCCACCCCACAATGGGGTAGGGGCGAAGGCTGGCTGCTGCCCCTAGGCCCAGCGGCCCCACAGATCCGCAGCGGGGCACCTACCTGGCTGGGTGTGCACGGGAAGGTCGCCGAGGTGTGACCTGCAGAGAGGGAATTGGGGGACGAGTGAGCGGGGGCCTCCCTACTAAGCTTCAGGGATGGAACCCAGGTGTCCTGGTGCCCAGCCCCCCCCGCTCTAATCAGTGGACCCCACTCCCCTCCCAGAGCCGGGGCGAGAACTCAGGAGTCCTGGCTCCCAGCCCCCCTGCTCTAACCCACCAGACCCCACTCCCCGCTCCCCGCCAGTACTTACCTCCGGTCCGGCTGCCCCCGCCTCCACAGCGCCGCCCCCAAGGCAAGGAGGAGCAGGAACTCCAGCGCTGCGCACACGGCCAGGGGGATCCAGGCGGAGCTACAGGCGGGTCCCCCCACGTTGGGGGCAGGGGGGTCCTTCCCTGCTCCCATCGCCCGGGGAAAACACAAGGGGTGAGTGAGGAACAGAACCCCGGAGTCCTGGCTCCCAGCCCCCCCTGCTCTAACCACGAGACCCCACTCCCCTCCCAGAGCTGGGGAGAGAACCCAGGAGTCCTGGCTCCCAGCCCCCCCTGCTCTAACCTACCAGACCCCACTCCCCTCCCAGAGCAGGGGACAGAACCCAGGAGTCCTGGATCCCAGACCCCCCCCTCTCCTGCTCTAACCACTAGACCCCCTCTCCCCCACTCCCTACCCAGATAACCCCAGTGTCCTGGCCCCATCCCTACCAGCGAGGTTGAAGGTGACCTGCAGGCCGTTCACCTCACACTTGACCCGTCTTTTCTTCTTCCTGGCCCCCTGGTCGCTCCTGTTCCAGCAGGCCTGGAGCAGCGCCACCCGCGAGCCCGAGAAGACGAGGTGCTGGCCCTGCCCGTCGGTGTCCTGCGCCCGCTGCCCGTCGACCCGCCATGTCACCGCCGGCAGCGCCTGCCGGTCCAAGATCGCGCAGGAGAACTGGTGGCAGGTCATGTTGGTGTGGCCGGTCGTCAGCGCCATCTGGGTCCCTGCAGGGGACAGTTAAGCAATGGGGTGGAGAATGGGGCACGGGGCCTGTCCGCTCTGGGGGTCGCCGGCTCCCATCCGGCCTCAGGATGGGGACTGGCTGGCTCAGGAGGGTGGGAATGGGGCAGGGGCCTGTCCCTTCTGGGGGGCGCTGGCTCCCATCCGGCCCCAGGACGGGGACTGGCTGGCTCAGGGGGGTGGGAATGGGGCACAGGGCCTATCCCCTCTAGGGGGCGCCAGCCGCGACCCACCTGTGACAACATTCAGGTGGTAGGTGTTGCGGGTGGCTCCCTGAACCGAACACCAGTAGGTCCCCGTGTCCCCGTCCTCGGCCCTCCGCAGGTACAGGGAGTGGTTGCGGAACACGGAGAGCCGCTCCCTGGCCTCCGCCTCCTTCTTCAGGGCCTGACCCGCCGCGCCCCGGAATAACGGCACCGACGAGGACCCAGGAACACCAGCATTGTAGGACCACGTCACCTCTTCCGCGCCCGGGAGAGACTCGACCAGGCCGCAAGGGAGCTCCCGGTCCTGCCCCTTCTGGACGTAGGCATCTGCGGGAGAGGGGGATTCACAGGGGTTAGATTTCCTGTCACTGAGATGCAGCTGACTCTGGGGTGGGGCAGCTGTTTACACAGGGATCCCTCACCCGGCCCTGTGATGCAGCCACCTCTGGGATGGGGCGGCTGTTTATACAGGGACCCCTCTCCCGGCCCTGAGATGCAGTCTGGGGTGGCCAATAAAAAGCAGGTTTTTACCTTCCTCTCTGGTGAGTCGCAGCTGGAGAAGGAGTAAGATCCAGATGGGGGTCATGATGCCCCGAATGCCGGGGTCCTTCTGGGTGGCACCACCTTGGGGCTCTATCTCCAAGACCCAAGGAGGAAGAGACCGAAATAGAGCCGGACGTAGCTATCTCTGGAGTGACTTGGGGGTTTGGTGGCCGGCTTATCAGGGACGCACAGCAGCAGCGTAGGAGTGGGAAGGGGGCGTGAAAGAGAGGGAAAGGGGAGTGGTGTGATCCACCCCAGAGATGGCTGCATCTCAGCGCCGGGGGAGAGAATCCCTGTATAAACAGCCGCCCCACCCCAGAGACTGTCGCATGTCAGCGCGGCAAAACGTCCACCGTGAACCCTCTTTGGAGCTAGAAAATTGGTGTGACTTCAATATGGTACCACCAATATGGCTGCCACGTTCCGGAGATTTCCACCTGGCGACACCAAAATGGCCACCACATCCTGAACCCGAAGCTATTGAGTGGGCATGAGCCCAACAGAGCAACACCAACATGGCCGCCAGATCTCAGAGACGCCAACCTGGCTTCGCTCCAATATGGTGACATCAACATGGCCGCCCACATCCCCACCGAAGAGACGCTGAGTTGGCAGGAGACCCGTAATGGCCAACGCATCCCAGAGAAACTAACTTGGCGTAACCCCAATATGGCGATACCAACATGGCCAACACATCCCAGAGACGCCATCTTGGCCTAACTCCAATACGATGGCTCCTAAAGGGCCAGCACCTCCCAGAGACGCCATCTTGGCATAGCTCCAGTGTGGCGATACCAAGATGGCCGCCACATCATTGGCTCAGAGACGCCAAGTTGGCATGAGACCAATGGCCGACACATCCCAGAGACGCCATCTTGGTATAGCTCCAACATGGCGATACCAACATGGCCGCCGCATCCCCCAACTCAGAGCCGCCAAGTTGGCATGAGACCAATACAGCCACTCTAAAATGGCCACTGTGTCCCCACCCCAGCGGCCAGTTGACACCACCTCCAAAACGGCTGTCAGGCCCCCACCCAGTTGGCGTGACCCCTGCCCCCCATCCCCCTATGCTGGCACCAAAATGGCTGCCCAGTTGGCATTACTCCCAACATGGCTGCCGCGTCCCCACCCTGGAGGTGCCAGGCTGGTGCGACCCAGACCGTAGTCGTGGCAACACCCCCTTTCGTCCCCCACCACAGGACTAAATTTGAGGGGGGGAGGGTAGGGGGAAATGGACGCCTGGCCCTTTAAGAGCGGGGGGGGGGGGGACGAGAAAACGGCCGCTTGGCCCTTTAAGATCCGTCTCCCAGAGGGAAGCGTTCTGAAATCCCCTGGTTAAGTCTGTCCGCCCCGGGCTCCTGTAGAGAACCCGGAAGTGGAGTTAATTCCCCCCCTCGTCCACCCGGCCCCCGGCTTTGGTCCGGGCCAAGATGGCGAAGCTGCTGAGCTGTGTGCTGGGGCCGCGGCTCTATCGGGTCTATCGGGACCGGGGGCCGGCCAGGCCCTCCCGAGACGGGGATGAGGCAGCCGAGGGGGCCCAGGATGGTTCTTGGGTGAGTCCGCTTCCTCTCCCCGCGGGAGACAATGGTATCGCCCGGGCTCCCGTTATCTCTATGGGGGCTTGGGAAAGACCATGGCGGGGAAAGGGGGCAGCTCCCCATTGTCCATCATGGAATGTTATGAGCCCCAGGATCTTGATACCCCTCTGGGCGATACCATAATGGAACATGGGGGGGGTTGGTCTTCTGGGCTGCTCCCCGTTATCCAGCATGGCATCCCCAGGGGATTGGTATCCCTCCCTTGGGAGAGACCATTGTAGCACAAGGAGCGCGGTGAGCTGAACCCCTTTCCATTCTGCAATATGGTATTGACAGGCACCCCCTTTTGGGGGAGACCATTGTAGGAAATTGGGGGGGTCACAAAGAGTTGGACCTTCCCCCCCCCCATTATCCAATGGTATCGTCCAAACCCCGTGGCTATTGATACTCCCTTGGAAAAACCATTGTAGGACATGGGGGGGGGGGGTGCCACGCTCTTTCACCTGATATGGTAGCTGCTAGTCTTTGAGGTAATGATGTTTTCACCCACTCAGGAGAGACCACTCACTAGGAAGATGGGTGTACATGGCCTCTCCTAGGCTCTAGTGTATTGATATCCCAACGGGTCAGTCCCCTGTGTAGGGTACTTGAAGAAATACAGTCCCCCCCATTATCCAGCATGGTATCTTCCAGGTCTTAGGGTGTTAATATCCCCCTGGGACAGACTATTATAGGACATGGGGGGAGGAGAGTACCAAGGGGGCATCTTACCCCTTTCCGCTATCTGATATCTCCCAGCCCCCCAAACATAAATATCCCCCTTACCTTGGCTCCCATTCTCACCCTGTTGCCATGACACCATCCTCCAGCAGTTGGCGTGACTCCTGTGTGTGGCCTTGCTCAAAATGGCCACCATGATGCTATCCCCCAGAGGTGCCAGGTTGGCGTGACTCCCGTGTGATGTAAACAAAATGGCTGCCATGGCCCCATCCCTGAGGTGCCAAGTTGGCCTGACTGCAAAACGGCGTCACCAAAATGGCTGCTGTGTGTCCACCGCAGAGGCACGAGGTTGGCCCAGTTCCAGCGTGGCGTCACCAAAATGGCTGACACACCCCCACCGTGCCAGGTTGGCATTACTCCAAAATGGCGGCTACTGCTGCTGCTTCCCTCTCCCTGAGCTGCCATGTTGGCGTGTCTCCAGTATGGCTGCCGCCTTGTCGCTCAGGAGGCATTGGGTTGGCATGACCCCCCCATGTGACCTCACCAAAATGGCCGCCATGTCCTTCGATGGGTGGTCCAGGTTGGCGTGGTGTTGCTGCCTCTCTCGCCCCCATGGGTCCCACATTGACTGATTCCAGCCCTGTGGTACATGCCCCCTCTCCCAACCTGGAACACCCTGTTGGCTCCTTGGTGGCAGGATGGGGATCTGTCTGGGTTTTCCCCCATCTAACTTGGAGGCTTAACTCCCAGTTTCCCCCACGCTCTGCCGGTCACCCGAACCCCCAGGGGCTCAAAGGGGCCCCCAGGGGGCTCGAAATGATGTGGGGTCTCTCCCACCAGGAGTCGTACTACCAGCCGCGGACGCTGGAGAAACATGCTGACAGCATCCTGGCCTTGGTGAGTCCCCCTGCGCCTTCGGGGCTGGGTCATTCAGTGGAACCCAGGCGTCCTGGCTCCCAGCCCCCGCGGTAACAACTAGACCCCACTCCCTGCACCCCCCGGGTCCCTCTCACCCCTCCATAACCTGCCCCAGAGGGAAGCAATGACTCACTTCGTGCAGCGAAAACATGTTTGTCTCTAATCCCGTCCCACGGGTCCTGGCTGGATTAGATACTCCAGCCCTGCGGCAGCCTGCAGTCCCTGCCCTGAGGTGAGCCCCAGCCCCCGCTCCCTGCAACAACTGGGATAGAACCCAGGAGTCCTGGCTCCCAGCCCCCCGCTCTAACCACTACACCCCATACCCCTGCTGGAGCTGGGATAGAACCCAGGAGTCCTGGCTCCCAGCCCCCCTACTCTGATCACTGCACCCCACACCCCTGCCGGAGCTGGGGAGAGAACCCAGGAGTCCTGGCTCACAGCCCCCCTGCTTTAACCACTACACCCCACATCCCTGCTGGAGCTGGGGATAGAACCCAGGCATCCTGGGGGTGGGTTTTGTTGGCTGTATCATCCTACTGAGCCTCTCTTCTGTTCCTTGCAGGCGTCGGTGCTCTGGTCTATTTCCTATTACACTTCCCCCCTGGCTATGTTCTACTTGTACCGAAAAGGTAGGGGGTGCTGCGCTGCCGGGTGTGGGGCTCGGGGGGTCAGCCAGGGGCGCTCTCCCTGGCGGTCAGGGCTGGCCCCAGGGCAGTGCTAGGGGGTGCTGTGCTGCTGGGAACCGGGCTGGGGGTTTCAGCCAGGGGTGCTCTCCTCTGGCCCTTGCTCAATTCCCAATTGTGCCTGCCTTAAACGTCCCACCCTGCAGTTATCGTCATAGCTGCGATTTCCCCTTTACTTCCTGTCCCAAAATGGAGTGGTGTCGTTGGGCTACTGGCAGACCCCGCCCCATAGCTGGCTGCATCTCACGCCAAGTGAGCCATCTCAGTGCAGCGTTACATGCGGCTGTTCCCCAGCTGCCCCACCCCAGAGGTGGTTGCATCTCAGTGCTGGGCAAGCCGTCTCTGTGCAGTGTTATGTGCAGCCATTCCCCAGCTGCATCACTCCAGGCTGATTTCCTCCCTGGGGGCCCAGCTTGGGTGCCCACTGAACCTGGCTCTCAACCCCCCCACAGGATACCTGACCATGTCGAAGGTGGTTCCTTTCTCGCACTACGCTGGGACCATGCTGCTCCTTTTGGCCGGGGTCGCCTGCCTCAGAGGTGGGGGGGGGGGGCTGGTGGTTAGAGTGGGGGGAGGGGGCTGGGAGCCAGGACTCCTGGGTTCTCTCCCTGGCTCTGGGAGGGGAGTGGGGGCTAGTGGTTAGATCGGGGGGGTCTGGGAACCAGGACTCCTGGGTTCTCTCCCTGGATATGCCAGACGTCTCTAATTCCGTGTCTCTGTTGCAGGCATCGGGCGCTGGACCAACCCCCAGTACATCCAGTTCATCACCATCCTGGAAGATAGCCACCGCCTTGGCACCCCAGAAATCAAGGTGAAGGGGGTGGAGGGGACCCTGACCTCTCCCTACGACCGGGGGGAAACAACGCAGCCCTCCTCCCATGGTCTCCCAGGATGCTCAGGGGCCAGCTCTGCCTGTATCTCCCATCATGCCTTGCTGCCCCTTTCCCCAGTGCCATTTCCCGTCTCCCATGGTGCCTGTGGCTTCCCTCGGTGCCAGCCCGTTTCCCAGGATGCCTGGCTGCCCGGCCCCTCAACATTGTGCCTCCCATGGTGCTCGGTTCCCCTCCCTTGCCACGCTGGGGTTGAGCTCACCTGCCGGAGCAGCCCCCGGCCAGCAAGGGGTGCCGACATGCTGCTCACTCTGCCATGGGGGTGGGGGGCTGGAATGACCCATTCTAGCCGGGGGGGAGGGGAGGGGAGGCTCCACACACCCCTCCGTCGCTCTCTCTAGGTTCGTCTCACCCTCCTTCCTCTCTCTCTCTCTCTCTCTCTCTCTCTCTGCTGCAGAAGAAACTCGCCAGCTACAACTTTGACTTCAGGAGCTGGCCCGTGGACTTCCGCTGGGACGAGGTCACTAGCCGGTGGGTGCGGGGAGAGAGAGCCCAGGAGTCCTGGCTCCCATCCTCCCCGCTCTAACCACTATCCCCCACTCCCCTCCCAGAGCCGGGGAGAGAACCCAGGCGTCCTGGCTCCCATTCTCCCCTCCCCCCCCGCTCTAACCACTAGATCCCACTCCCCTCCCAGAGCCAGGGAGAGAACCCAGGCGTCCTGGCTCCCAACCCCCGCTGTAAGCCCCTTGTTTGCTGCCCTGCAGGTCGGACTCCCGGGGCGTCTCGCTGATGCGGCCGGAGCCCAAACACCGGAGCGCGGCCAACGGCTTCCTCCATGCCATCAAGAAGCTGCCCTGCCAGATCGCCAGGTAAGCTCTGCCCCCTGGCACTCGGGGGAAGGGCTTAGCTGGATCCTGGGTTCCCATTGGCTGGAAAGAGGGGTGCAGAATGCTTGGAGGGGTTCCTAGAAGCCGGGGAGACCCAAGGCATTATGGGAGTCATGGCGTCAGCACCAGGG